AAAAAAAAAAAAAAAAAAAAAAAAAAAAAAAAAAAAAAAAAAAAAAAAAAAAAAAAAAAAAAAAAAAAACAAAGGTATAAACATATTCTTTAGCATTGTGGAGGTACTCATAAAAAGAATTAAAACAAATGAAGTGTGGAAGACACAGGGAAAGAGATTTTTACTGTACATTTTAAATATGTTATACTGTCTGTTTATATCAAGCATCACATGTAGGAGTAGCAGTATTAATAATAACAGATTTTCTCAAATACATGGACTATCCAGGACTCGCTGACAAAAGACTCTGTAATGTATCTCTCATTAGCTTCACTGCCTTGAGGTAAGATTTTTAAAACTCAAATTCAAATGGCAAAATACTAAAAAATATTATTTGTTTTAGTAGAATTCCAGTTCTACCTACATGAGCACCATGAACACAAAACCAAAAAAAAAAAAAAGAAATTAATACATTAAAATGATATATCCTTCTATTTCAAATAACTTAAAATTATTTTCATTCTTGTTTTTTAAATATTTGAATAAACAGACTCACAGTTCCACAAGGTTTGGAAGCTTCTGAGCAAGGTTTTCTGGCTGAAAATTAAAAACTCAGAATTAAATTTTATTTTTGAAAAATGTATAAACATTTCTAATTAGCTTAAACATGAAGTACTATCTTTTTGAGGGGTGTAAATTTTGAGAAAATGTGAAAATAATAAATCAGTAATTCTGGGTTTTATGCTTACATAGACCATACTCCAGTTTAAAATGCATGAGCTTGAATACTTAAAATCAATGTCCCTTAGACCCACCAGAAATCTCATATTCCATGGTCATGAAAAAACAGAAATGTGCTTAACAGACACAGACAGAGGGAAGAACACCACGTGAAAATGGAGCCAGAGACTGGAGCCATGCAGCTGCAAGCCTAGGAACACTGAAGACTGCTGGCAACCAACAGAAGCCGGGAAAAAGGCACGGAACAGATTCTCCCTCAGAGCCCTGAGAAGGAATCAACCCTGACCACACCTTGATTTTGGACTTCTGGCATCCAGAATGGTGAGAGAATAAATTTCTGTTGCTTTAAGCCACCCAGTTTGTGATAATTTGTTATGGCAGCCCTAGCAAATTAATACACCCTCCAAACTCCCAACATGCTCAAGAGAAAGTAAAGGAAATCCCCAGGGCTCCCAGATGCCAAAGCCCTAACTGAGCTGGGAGAGAACAGAGGAAGCTGGAGATCATGTGGCCCAAGGGAGTGTCAGACCTGGCTAAAGGTTTAGAGATCCGAGTACAGGTGTGGTGTGGCAGGGATAGGAAACTAGCCATTGGGAAGAAAGAGGAAAGAGACGAATCTAGGTCCCTTACCGAGAGTCAGAGCCCTGAAAGGCTGGCCTTTCCATGAAAAGAATCCTAGAACAATTCCACTCATGGGTTGAAAGCAGGCTTCTCTCTGCTGGAGGCACTGGGTAGGGGAGAAAGCCAGCCCGCATGTGTGTGAGCGTGTGTGTGTGTGTGTGTGTGTGTGTGTGTGTGTATACATACACGAATATATATATATGTGTATATATATATATATATGAAATACATATATACATATATATATATACACACAAAATCTCACACACAGACATAAACACACACACAGGGTTCTAATTTACAGACAAAGATATGAGACATAAGATTGAAGGAGTACAGTTGAGTCAGGAGTAAATTTTTTTCATTCTATATTCAAGCACATTCTAGTGTAAACTACATATATATAACAAAGAATCAGGAATGACTTTTTAGAAGAAATCAAGTCTGACTTCAGTTCTGAAAGACACATAAATTATAAGAGGTTGACACGGGATAAAAAGGATGACAGTTCTGGATAGCTTTCTAGGCAAAAGCAGCAACATATGAAAAGGCAAAAGAGAATGAGGTACGTTAGGGAAATTGCAAATACTATCTATTCTGCTATAACTCCGTAAGAGTACCCCGGAAGGAATCTGACATTTTCCAAAATTCTTGTTATAAACACAATTATGTCAATAGAAAAACCAAAGTGTTGGTTGGGGACTAGCAAGTTTTAGATTTATAATAACAACGTATGAAATATTTCCAAATAAAGAGTATAACACAAAGAAATTTTTCATACAGAAGCTTAGTAACAGTGATTATTAGTTCAAAAAGGATTAGAATTTCTACTCCCCATCTACTCCTATTTTATACATATAACTTACCCTTTTTTGATAATCAAATATCACTGAATATAAATATTGTTATGAAGTCAATGAAGCATTTATTAAGTACCTACTTTTGCTAGAACCTCTTGTATTCAGTTTTATTTATTTATTTTTAGAGACGGTCTTGCTCTGTTGTCCAGGCTGGAGTGCAATGTTGTAATCATAGCTCACTGCATGCATACTCAAATTCCTGGGCTCAAGTTAACCTCCCACCTTGGTCTCCCAAAACACTGGGATTACAGGTCTGAGCCACCATGCCCCATCTGTATTTAGTTTTTTGTTTGTTTTTTTTTTTGAGACAGAGTCTTGCTTTGTTGCCCAGGCTAGAGTGAGTGCCGTGGCATCAGCCTCGCTCATAGCAACCTCAAACTCCTGGGCTCAAATAATCCTACTGCCTCAACCTCCTGAGTAGCTGGGACTACAGGCATGAGCCACCATGCCCAGCTAATTTTTTCTATATATATTAGTTGGCCAATCAATTTCTTTCTATTTATAGTAGAGATGGGGTCTCGCTCTTGCTCAGGCTGGTTTCAAACTCCTGACCTTGAGCAATCCACCCGCTTCTGCCTTCCAGAGTGCTTGGATTACAGGCATGAGCCACTGCGCCCGGCCATGTATTTAGTTTTAAAATGCCAAAAGCTATGACTCTTTTTTCCCCCATGTTCTGATAAAAATATATGCAATGAGGTCCTTCAAAAAAAAGTCCTTCCTCAGATGTTACTCAGGGATCTCTCTAAATCCCTGGAATGTTTCCTTTTAGTATTGGTATCTCTTAGTAAGGAGGGTATACACTTCCATTTATGGGCATACAAAGCATCCTAGGAAAACTAGAGGACTATGTGTGTGAGGAGGGGTGGTGGTAATTATAGCTGTTCATAGAAAAAGGAAACATCAAGAAAAGAAATGCTGTTAGACCCTCATCTAGTTTCATCTGCTACAATATCTATATTGTATCTGGATAACTCACACAACCCACGGTCATTCTTTCTGGATACCTGCTTGGCTCCATCAGACAGCATTCTAATCTTTCCATGACAAACTAGTTTGTTCTTTTGAGCTACAGCTATAATAGACAAAATTAAACACTGAAATAATGCTTCTGCTGCCGAAAGTACGTCTCTGTCTTTGTTAACAAGTAAGTACATTGTGTTTTTATTTAAAAAGCACACTGGCCTTGAGAAAATTTCAGTTTGTTAGAATAATGCCTTTTTAAAAAATATACCAAAAATCCATTTATGAACAGATGCCCCAAAAGCCTGGCAAATAAGCAGCCAGTTGCATAGACTCTGGCTGACACCTACTGGTGTTGTATATCATTCTCTGCTTTCTCATACTACACTGTTAGCACTATAGCTCAATAATACATGGGAAATACTACACAATTTAATTTTTATACTTCTATAATTTAGGTACAGTAAGTGACTGAACAATTATAAATTAACGTCAGTTTTTGGTACTCTATGGATAGCTAAGCTCTAATGTTGGATTAAGGGTGTCACACAAGCCAGTTTATGCTAGCCCATAGGATTTATAAGCTATTGTTTTTTAATGTTCTTAAGTTTAAAATTCCAATAAAAGCAATAGTCTTAGTTTTTTTCAAACCTGTTATTACTATTATTTCCTTCTTTTTTCACAATTTTGAAACAGAAAAGTTTTAACACATAAATAACCTGTATCCAAATTCCTTCAGCATAAATACCTCCTACTAAATGTCTTGAAAAGCCAAAGATTCTCTTCATTAAATCTCACTCTCATTATCATTTAGCCAAACAATTTTTCTTTACAAATGAAAAAGTACACTTCAGCAAGCACAGTTAGTATAAAGTTTACTTCAAATTTCAATCAATGATGCTTTACCACATACTTTTAGACTCTCCTTAAATGGGAATGTTTTAAAATTTTGTATCTTGAAACAAATATTTCAAATATTTTGTAGACACCACCAAGTTCAGTGATGTTCTTTGGTAGGCACTGTGCACCACTTACTACCTTTTCTTCTCCTTCCAAACCCCTCCACCTGGTAGGACTGCATTTCTCTCTTCAAGCTGACCACGGCTAAGTGACTCGCTTTGGTCAGTGAAATTAAGTCAAAGTGGAAGCCTTAAAGACACTGAGTGCAAAAGACCTCACCCCTTTCTCACAGTGACCTCCAGATGGTGGAAGCTTTGTCAGGTTTCATCTGTAAGTAAGGATACCCCAAACCAGAATCTCCAATCTTGAGACAGGTAGTGCAGTGTCAGCAAGAATATTTGTGCTGTTCCAAGCCACTAAGACTCAGGGTTCACCAAACTCTGCTCCATCCTGGCCTCTAACAACATATTTCAAAGAAGTCACAAATTAAATACATTTTGGTTCTTACAGCAGTTATGAAAAGTAGAATAAAGCAGAATATATAAGAATTAACTCAAAATGGATCAATGACTTAAGAGCTAAAACCATAACACACAGAACATAGGAGTAAGTCTCCATGACCTTGGATTTGGGAATGGATTCATAGACATTACACCAAAAGTATAAGCAACAATAGAAAATACATAAATTAGATGTCATCAAAGTTAAAAACTTTTGTACATTAATCAGTGGTAGGAGCAATGAAGTAAATTTAATGGAATATATTTCTAAAATAGCATATTTCTGAAATCATAAATAAGTTTATTTAGTTTCTAACCCTTTGCTGTACATAAGCAGAATTTATCTGTTATATATATGAGAAAAAGCTGAATGCTTTAAATCCTTTGAAAACACTCACCATATAAACTTGCACTTGAGTTTGCATGTTCTTTTTGTTAATGTGTGTTCTACTTTCCCCAAATTTCCAATGTATGTCATGCTTAACCCAAGAAGAACAATTTCTTCTGAATTCCTTATTTGATTTACGCAACTATACCTTACTTAATTATATTCTAACGTTGCAAATTTTACCATAAGTGGATAAAAGTAAAATTGCTCTTCTGAAAGTGTGTCCTGTGCTTTTAGACTATGGAGTTCCACAAATACAAAATACATTCTTAATTTTCATAGAAACTCATTATCACTTCTAAACCAGAAATGTTCTTGTGCTAATGATGTTATGAAAAGGAACAAAAGTTTTTTTCTGCTTAAAATATGTAGTTATTGTATATTTCTAGCTACATAAAAAATAAAACATGGTTACAAACTGGAAAAAAAAAGAAAGTAAAAAGACAATCTAAAGAATAAGAGAAAATATTTACAAATCATATATCTGATAAGGGTTTAGCATCCAGAATATAAACAACTCAACAACAAAAAGACAAACAACTCAATTTTACAAGGGCAAAGGATCTGAACAGACATTCCTTTAAAGAAGTTATACAAATGGCCAATAAGCACACGAAAAGATGTTTG